TTACTGTATTATTAAAAAGAGGGTCAGTATTTCAGTAACTCTCTTATTATCAATAAAGTTATTCAGCATAAGCTGAACATCCTGTGACTCTGAAATATTGAAACATATCATTCCAATAATTTTTCCACTCCTTGCTAAGTACCACTGCAACTTAGATTGCAATGTCAGCTGTCTAGATAAGGATTATGTAAGCCAAGGAAAAAAATAGTGTGAACATCTAACTGCAAGTCAGCATGAAAATAAATTACTCAAAGATGGAATAATTCAGATTTTGAGACTGGCACTGCAAGTCACATCTGGGTCCATTTCTGTGCAAAAAACCACAGGCTTATTAGAAAACAAAAAAAACCCAAAACACTGGCATTAGCTTCTGCAAAGAATAGATATATTTCATTGAAATATTCAGCTCCCAGATGAATATCATACAAGATTGGAATAGTAGAAATATTATCCACCAAGAACAGAATTTTCATAGCACATAACAAAATTACAGCGGTTTCCAGTTTATAAAAAAATTTAAAAATTTGAAAAAAAAAATATGTAGATATGAAAGCAATCCAAGGACTGAAAACATAAGAAATAAGAATTTGAAATCCTGCAGTATTAGTTCTTTTAAATAGAAATACATTAGTTTTGAGAAATTGTTTCAAAATGGCATGACACACTCAAGCCACAATATAGAAGAGACAACAAATATGGTTCTTTCCTCTGTCAAAAAACATTAGATGTTTTGAAATACTTAAATAAAAAGTTTGGATGAAATAGGATGCTGCTTAAAAAGCACCAAATCATTATAAGATCCTGGGCTCCACAGGGCCATTAAGTGTCACTGCCATAAGTAACTTCAACATCAAATCTTTGACCCATCAAAAACCAGCTGAATTTTACCTCCTCAGTAAATAGATCACTTTTGAGAAGGGAAGACAGAATTTCTTAAAATCTTACCAGTGGTCCCAATCTTGTTACCACTTCAGCACTCAAGGCTTCCTTCTCATGGAAGCTGTGCCATTAAACAAAATTGTCAGACAAGGTACCACTGCTGAACCTTCCCAGCAGCAATGGCACACCCCAAAGCAACAAACTGGCTGGCAATGGAAATATACAGGAAGCTTGAAAGAGGGAAAGAAAAGCACCTCAAAACCTTTTTGCCAGAAGCAGACTAAAGAAAGCAAAATGGTACAAGGAAGATGAGATCAGGGCACTGGAATTTAAACAGAGTTGCAGATGGATGGTGAACAGAGAAGTGCCACCTTTGTGCAGCAATATTTGTTAAGGCAAACACAAAAAAGTGTTTACAGAAAGTCTAATGGCTGCACTTAGTATTTGGATTAACCTTGTCCCCTAGAACAGTTTCACAGTATCATTCACCAAACGCAATGAGTCCAACTAAGTAGCAATGTGGGGCTGTAAGCCAGATGGGCGAGCAGGGTGGGAGGGCAAAGTGGAAAGTGAAGACTTGAGGTGGACCCCGAGGGACCAGAGATGCAATAAATGGGTTTAAGCAAGGTATTCAAGTCGTCAGCTTCATTATGAGCTAATGGAAATCTAATGTTGGGTAGTTCACATACAGCAATGTAAATCCTTCCAAGAATGGGGGAGAAATAGGGGAAGAATAATTTGCTCTAAGCTGTAAATTAGTGAGGAGTTTTCTTATTCATCTTCTGGTTTATCAGAAAATGTCCTGCTCTTCTGATCACTGCTGCTGGGGGACATGTCCCTCAGGGGCACTGGGGACCCGGGACTCCCCAGCTGAAGGGAGATGGAGTCATTTCAAGAGCTGGAAGATGTGATACAAGACAGGCAAAAGCACATTTGGGGAGCAACAGTAAAGGAGAATACCTGAGTAAAACCCAGACCACTAGCAATTTATAGGCTTAAATGACATGCAGTGCTAAATACATTAATTGCTTCTTGGAGAACTGATCTTATCAGAAGCTTCTCTGAAGGGCAAATAGGAGCACATGAACTGGATGATCCTCAGAGATTACCTCAGTGGAGGACCAGAACAGACCACCTCAAAGTGCAGAAGCCAGCATGGCTGAACAAAGAGCTCCAAACTGAAGTAGAAAGCAAAAAACAGCAAGTGCAGGGCAGGGACTAGCTGTTCAGAATGAGCTCAGAGGCATTGCCGAGGTAGGCAGGCAGGAAAAAAATTAGGTAAGTCAAGTCATATGTCCCTCCTTCCCAAGCTCTAGTATTGCTTTCCACTATTGAAAGTCTGAAAAAGTTCACAAGGATACCAGACAAATTCATGGATACCGTAAGGACTGTTAGGTACAAAGGCAACCCTTCTGATTTAGGAAGTCTCTAAGGAATGAGAGTTGTTTCTGTCTAGGACACTGCTCTGGTGAAACTGCTGCAAATGCCAGCTGCCCTCTCACCCTTGTTAACATCCAGCCACTACTGGCCACTGTCACCGTGGGATACCAGGCAGGTGTGATCTGGCATGGAACAGTCATCCTTACATCTCTTGGTCTGTGATCCACTGTGCTATACCTGTGCATGCTGGATTTGTATTTACTCACAGTTGGAGGTCAGCCCCACTTTCCAGCATGAAAACTTTTAAAAGTGAAAATGACACAAATTAGCACAGAAGGGAAAACATCTCTGTTCTCATGTTGAAAAAACATCAAGATTTCTAAGATAGAGTAGCCTGCCATCTGAAACAGTTTTTCCTCTAAAGCTGTTGACCTACTTTGTTAGCTATACAATTTATTACAAATTTACTATATTATAACAGCTGTGTTCATGCTGTTCTAGTGTCAGCACTTCTATTCTAAACCCCATTTTTTACACACTTCCGTAATAACTCAATTATAAAACTTGGATAAAACGTTGCTCTCCACAAGCATTTTCCTCTCCAAAGTACATTTGACCATCCGCAAAAATGCACCACTGCAAAACACCAAATTGCCCACTTGGGTCTGATTTGTCCCCCAGAGCGTGGTGGGACTCTGACTGAGGGCAGCTGGGGAAGGTTTCTGAGCCCACCTGCACTGTCTGGAAACAAAGCCCTGCCACTGCCAGGCTGATTGCAGATGTGGTTTGTGGCCCTGCTTTTCTGTGCTGCCTGGGTGGGTTTGCACAGACCCCCAGCACCCTACGGAGCTGCTCCACAGTCAGGCACCCCAGCTGGGATGGGAACTTCATGGGGGACAGTCTGGGAAGTGCACAGCACTGAATAAAGGGGAGGGGAGGCTTGAGCTGGGGAGAAACCAGTGTAGGGAGGGAAAGGACAGGAGAAAGAGCAGTTTGGTGTCCTAGGACACTGTCAGCAGTGTCCTTGCAGAGCAGCAGATAAGAATAACAGAGGGGAACCCAACAGCCATACAGACAAAAAGAGCTGAGCTTTGGCTTTCCTAATTCCTTCCCTACTTGCCTAGGACCTGTCTTTGCACTTCTTGGATCCCTGTCCCAAACTTGCTTGTAGCCCTCTTTTACATTTTTTCCCACTCTATCCTATTCTTTCTGCTAAAAAGGCACCAAAACCACGTGAGACATTCAAGATGCTGGAGGAACATACCTATGGTGGCACAGCAGTGTCTCCCTATTTTGTTGCCTATTTCTCTCCTAATCACCCATAATATTTTGTTTGCTTTTCTGCCTGCCCCTAGTCTAGCACCCAGGCTGTCACAGAGGTGTCTGCTGTGGGCCAGGTCTCCCTCCTGTACAGTAACTCTTTGCTTAGACACACCAGGCCAGGTAGCACATACTCCCTGATGCTACATCCACACATCCTCCATCGTGCTTGGCACTCAGGACACACAGCCTGAGCACAGCTGCACACAGCCTGAGCAGGACACAATCACCAGGCAAGGACTTCAGACAGAAGACATCCTCTAGCAATGCCACACCTGACAGCATTGAACCCCAAAGGTGCCAAGCTCCAAAACATCACCAAGGCTGAAATAAAATCAACCCTCCGTACATCCATGCCTAACCAGCTTCTTTCCCCACTTAAGTGTAATACTCAATGTAGTCAATACAGTGGAGACTCTCTTCTAAATACAGGATTGCTGTCATTCTTAAAGACTTACTACTTTTCAGCCCATATTGTATTTTTCTCAGTCTGGACTTCTGGACTTGCTTCTGGAAGTCTCCAAACAGTCACTGGGCTCCAAACAGAAGCATCTTGTTTACAATAAAATCATCAGAAAATCTTAATTCAGGAAATGGGAAAATATTAACCAATTACCATTTGTCATATAAAATACATCTTGAAAACCTTTTATATAAAATGACCAATCAATTTATGTGTAAATGATGTCCTACTGAAATAAATGAAATTCTGTGCCTACAAAATTAGGCATGACCATGTCCGGTCAGTTGTGCATCACAGTGATTCTCTTTGACTTCTTACAGCAAGAAATGCTTCTATATACTAATTTTGATAAGTTACAGAAATTAGATTAAATTCTACAGTTCATTTTAAAATGTCACAGAAACCCTTTTATCTGCTCCTCCTTTCCTCAGATGCCATGACCAAGTGAAAAAATTCAGATACAGTCCATAAATGGATCTTCCCAATCACTGCCTAAGTACATATGTGACAGCTGTCAATTTGGAAATAATTTATCACAACAGAAAGATGACAGGAAAACACTACTGATATTACAGCAATGGCAAAATCACGTTAGAATAGAAATCCTGTAGGAAATCTCTTCGCACTACAAGAGATGGCCAGCAGTTAGAGAAAATCATTAAAGCCTGAATTGAGGAAATTGGTTAAATTTTTCACAGCAAAGGGTAACAGATAAAAGTAGACAAATGTCACCAACCTTCCAGGGAGAGCCATCCCTTGTAGAGAGTGCAGATACCCATCAACAGTGCAGGGAAGGCATTGGATTTCACAGGCACACTGCTATATTGGATAATGACTTTATAATCATCATATCATTTCCATACACCATGCAGACAATACAGTCACGCAAATGTCATGATTGCATAATTGCATGATTATTAGATTAATCCACACAGGCAGCAATTACGCTCACCTACAGCTGCCACATCCCACCCTGCTGCCAGCACGTTGGCTCTGGATCTGCCACAGAGCCTGGGAAAGCGATGGGTGTGGGAAGCATGGGAATCCTCTCCTCTAATGCTGCTTCAGGACCTGCAGAGATACCACACTTCCAGGTGTTTTGGAATACACCAATCAGCTGGGATGGCTTGTGGCCCATTGGAAGATACAGATTTTCCTCTACATTTGGGCATTTTCTGCATCTCAAGAGAGATATTTGAAACATATACAAATATTATATATGTATACATATAAAATGTCAGCAAAGCTTGACTCTTGAACTGACCCGCTCAAAGTTCACATCCTTCTGGACCAGTCCTTTTTCCAGAAGCATTCACCAGGTCAGTTCTTTGGTATGATGAAAATATATTCCAGCACTGGGTAAAGACCATGAAAATTTCCTAAGAAAACTAGGACAACTTTCTTAAAACTAGGAGAAATTCAATATGTATGAGCATTGTAGCACATCTGGGCTGCATTCCAAATGACAAGGGCTGCGATAGGGGATTGGGGAATTTTATAAAGGTAAAACTTCACTAAGCTTGCTTTTGGGACCCATTTAAACGTGAAACTCAGGGACCACAAACCTGTGGGAACCAGGGAACAGATGCCTAATTCTTCCCCATTTTTAAAGGCCTTTGGAAAAAAAAACCCTTGGGAATGCACAGCAATACTTGTCTGAGTGAGAACACCTTAAGAACTGCATGTCTGTGTGCTGCTCAAGGCTGACAAGCACAGCTTGCCTTACTTGCACAGTCCAGGGGATGTGCTTGTTATAGTAAATGCTGTCAGACTGTGTATATTAAAACTCTCCTGACTTTAAGCAGAAAACAGAAGGGAAGTAGGAGCAGTCCTCCTCACCCTGCTGTGTACAGCAGCCATGCAGTGGACATCATGGTGACACTGAAAATTTTCTGAATTTGATTTGAGAAGTTATTTTGACCACTTTTAAAAAATAAGGAAGCTCTTCAGCCCCTGAAATACAATTCCTATTCTTTCTCCCAAAACATAATATTTATTTTAAGACTGATCTTTAAAAAGCATAGAAGCTGTTTCTTCAGCTGCACCATACATTCCTGTGAGGTGTGCATCATAAGCAACAGCAACTAAATTAGCTTCAAAACAATGTGGTGGGATTTCAAGGGAAAGAAAAACAAACAAACAACACTGTTATGTGAAGAGACATACTTTTTCATAACATCTCTGCCCACTGGGTGAGAATAACCATGCTTCCAGCACACTGTTCTCGCTCATTTAATAACAAGATACAATTTTGGATTGTGTATATGTTGACAGAAAACAGAAGTGACAGAAAGCTTAGAAAGCTTTGATTTTACTATATGCCTGTTGGAATGGAAACACTCGAAGAGAACCTCTAGGCTGATAAAATCTGTCACTTGAACATCAAATAAATATAAATAAAATCAATTTTATCTGCCAAAAGAAATATCCCATCTATTTCCATTGTGAATTGCAATAATACCTGTTTTAGGCCTTTTCTGTCTCACCCACTTCATAAGCTTCTTTCTCCTTTGGGAATGCAAATATTCTGCACCTGCCAAGGAATATAGCAGCAGTGCCTCAAAGTTGTGTCAAACCCCCTGCACAGCTGGAATTTGAAATCCAGAACCTGAAATAAAGGCATGAAGAGGATTCAATGCTAAGGGGCATAAAAACCCCAGCTGAAGACTAACCCACAAAGACCATGGTGAATGTAGGCTCTCCTGACTATGGACAATATTCCTATGGACAATAACCTGGAGATAGCTCTGCTGTTTCTTCAAAATCAGCATCAACCCTTAAAGCTGAAGGAAGTTCCATCTATCTGAAACAGGCTGGATTAATAAGGGTAAAACCAAAATTCCTAATGCTCTGAAACATGCTCTGTTTTTTTCAAAATCCTCCAGTCATAATAGCTAATTCTGACAAACACAGGCTATTTAAGTGCTTAACTTTGAACATCTTGACTTTCTAAACTTAATTCCATAAACACACAAATGCATATGTACCCTCTAGACAGAGGCAGTAATTACAGCTGGCAGCTGTGAGGGCATTTTACATGTTTCAGTAATAAACCTATCTATCTATACCTATTAAATATTAATGTACAGTCTCTCCCTATTACCTATTATGTCATCAGTCACATCACTTTCAGGAGGAAGGTCAGCAAAAACAACATAACAAGATTTTTGTCCTTTTTTTAAACACAGCCCGAGTAGTTTATAGATGTTAATAAAACCCCTGACAAGAGAAGCACTATTTATTAACAGGACTGATATACAAGGAGGAAAAATAGAATGTTTTCCTACCTCAAATTTGCTTATCTATAGTATAAATAACAGAGGATAGGAAGGACAGGGAAAGGAAGGTGAAATGAAAATACATCCTGGTCAATCTCCATGCTGTGACATCCCAGCCCCTCCACAGAGACTCAGAGAAGCCTCCACTGAAGCTGGTGCCACTCCACAAGAGCTGGGAGCCAGGTGGAGCTGTGTGGGTAGGAGAGAGCCCAGGTAAGGGTGCAGATACACCCCACAACGCCCCTGACTCCTCCACCTGTGTTTGAGAAGACCTGCAGAGGTCACCTTCCAGATCTGCCATAAACCCAAGTATCTTCAGATGTCACGTTTCTCTTAATCTCACCATTTATTTCCATGTTTTCCTAAACAAGAAGGATGGCAAGTGAAAGCACATAGGATACCCACAGACACTGTGAATCATTTGCAATTTTTATTTTCATTTTCTGACTTATTAATACAGTCTGGCACACAGTTCATAAGCTGGCTCATTTGACACTCAGACTTCTCTACTTAAAAAAACGGGTTACTTCCAGTTAAACTATGTCCTTTTATGTTTGAAATTTTTGGACTAAGTCTCCAAATTTCAAGAAAACTCTAAAACTCTATACTATTAAGGACACTTTAGTTTCCTTTTCACCAGTTGTTTTTGCCCAAATAACTTCCACATCATTCTCTGGAAAGTGCTATTTTTTTCCCCTCCTGTGGTAACTTCTGCAAAACACAAGAAAAATCCTTTAAATCATAAAACATAGAAGAAAATTCCTGTTTTGGAAAGGCAACTATATTTGCATACAAACACACACAGGCATATATATATATGTATCGTTCACACCACTTCCTTCTAGGTTTGTTTTTTTTCCTTAGTAATTCAAAACCAGTTTTGACAACAAATTTTGAGTCAGCTTCAGTGCTTATTACTGGCTTCAATTTTCTTTTACTAGGGGATATTGCTCCATTAAATCAGTGTCTGCAAGATTGGAGTCCAGGAGAATTCTATCCTATTTCATGCTTCATTATGAAAGATTCATACAGCCTTACTCATCATGTTTCTACAGTCATCTACATCAACTTTAGCGTACTAAAATGCTGCACAGTACCAAGTGACATGGTGGAATGATCAATCAAGTTCACCAGCTTAAACGCTCTGACAGTGATCCACAATCTTAACTTTGGCTGGGGATAAAGACACATCCTAATCAGCACACAAGGGCCATCTTTATTGTGGTAATTAGCATTCACCAAATTGCAATGCTAAGTACAAAATGTTGAAAAGTTCCCTGGAGGCAGAAGTACAGGAGAGAGATTACCCACAGGCCACAGGCACTGGAAGATGCCTTTGTGCTGGAGGAAGTCCTGCAGTGATGAGAGCACCACATGCCTGAGCCTGTTTTCTGTAGGAAGGGATGGTAATAGGATTCGTTTCCACATGACATGTTATTAAATTGCCTCTCACACACACACCTTCCACAGTAAAAACTCAAACAAACAACAAACCACAAATCATTTCTGTGCAAGAAAGACTGAATTACTGAAACTGGTGTATTGTTTCACCTTGTTTTTTCATTTCATCTAAGATACTTTTGAAGAAACATAAAATGGGGCTGGAACTAGAAGACAACCCAGGTACTGGCCTGTCTGTCAAGCTGGGTTGGGATATTGAATTGTTGATCTTCATATAGTATTTTATACCTCAAAAATCTGTAGATGTGTGTATATGCACAGGAAAGGTTTAGATTGGTTATTAGGAGAAAATTCTTCACTGAAAATTTCAAACACTGCTAGGGCTGCCTAGGGGAGTGATTAAGTCACCATCCCTGGACGTGTTTAAGGACATATTGATGTGGTACCTGGGAACATGGTTTAGTGGTGGTCTTGGCAGAGCCAGTGGTTGGAATTGATCATCTTCAGGGTCTTTTCCAACCTAAATGCAATGTAATACTTAACAGTAGGTACCTAAGTATTCAAGTATTTGAGAGACAGTTCCATGCCAGATGATATTGCTGGAGAAAAAAGATTATTTTCTCTATCACGAGAAACTATTTTTATCACTCATACTATTTCCTGTTTCTGGTCTTGCTACCTTTCAACGCTCTACATTTCAATTTATACATTTATGTCATTATTTTACTAAGAGAAAAACTTCAAGAGACTTTACAGGGGGTTTCATTTGCATTTGATGATTCCATTTAATAGCCCTGTGGGCAAAAAAACCAACCAATAATTTTTTTTTAATTCATGATGGCAGAGAAGGATGTTAACCAACATTAGCATCAAAAAGAAACGACCAAGTGTCAAGACAGTTTTCACAGTTCCATTCCTGTCTTTTCAGACCAGTTAAAGCTCCCAGAATTAGGTTAGTCAGTGGTGCAGACTAGTTCTTCAGTTAACGTGTCCAATGGTTCTGTTGGACACGATGCATCAGTCATGCTCCTGCATCCAATTACTGGACATTTAAAACAAGCAAACCAAAGGATGCACAATGAATTCTTTACACTTGAAAGCTCTTTGTGAAGAAGGGGGGAAAAAAACAAGTTCACATGGTTAGAATGGATGAGATGGGAAGGATCAGTATTTTCTGCACTATATCATTTGTCCTTCTCACCATCATGACACAGGAAAATTAAAGCATCTTTGTAGCATTCTCAGACTTGACTAGATAAATCACAGGGTAAGCACAGGCTTTTATGATACTCCTCAGAGATCAGTCCTATAAGTTTGGCTGGATCTTCATCTCCTCCTTGGTCTCATTTCAACAAACCCTCCCTGCGAACAAGGAGTCATTTCAGGCTGGCAAGATCAGTGTTGCTGTTAGGAAAACTTCATTCTTTTCAGTTCTAAGTATCTAATTTTCTTCAGTTTACTCTTTTAACTTCAATGATTACGTAAATGTTCACAAAAAGCCATCCAACATCCAAAAAAGGTAAACTGAGGCTCTCCACAGAACATGCTTCAACATGAAGTGTAAGCAAGTAACTTGAAACACAGCAAAATTTGGCAGATTTTACAAGACTGATCTTGCAAGGCATTGACTCTGCTCTCACAATGTTTTGTATTCTGCAAGGGACTCAGTCTTTTAACTCAAGCAGCGGACCTTCTTGATTTGGAAAAAGTAAAAGCCATATAAGTGGCCAACCATAGCCAATTCCAACCACAAAGGAATAAGAGAATTTTTACTCTGACTTACTTTTGTTCATTAAGAAGCTAGGAAAGTATTTTTACCAGTCATTTTGTATGCACTCGCTGTGGCTAGTAAGGACATTTAGGCTCTGAAGATAAATATAGTAATTATGAACAATCCTCCTTCATTCCCCACATTAACTGAAATCCATTTCCAAAACAACAACAGAATCCTCAAAAATGTGGGCCAAAGAAAATGCATTAAAAAGTTTCACTTAACAACAGCATTTTTCCTTCCAACCAAATTCCCGGCTTTCGTCTTAGGCCATCTTAGACTCTTCACTCTATTAATAGTTTAATGCATGATAAATAATACATTATTCAAAAGGAACGTGTACTTTCACATTGGGTACAACACTTGCAAGCTACAGGCACTGTCTTCCACTTGATTTCAAGTGACATGCCCAAAGTTTTTGCAAGGAAAAATTAAATCTTCTATTCAAAAAAGATACTGTCTCTGCCCTGCTGAATGCACCTCTTTCTTGCAACCAAAGGAAGAAGAAAGAAGAAAAAGAAATACTCATGTTCAAAATGTACTTCAAAGGGGAGGAGAGCACATAAAAATGATTGAGGTGTTCCATTTCATTCAGGCCACACCACTTCCAAAAGGACATAGCAGGATTATAGAAGTTCCAAAGATACGCAACAAAACTTGATTAAAGTCATGCTGATTCTTCTGTATCAGCAGAGACTAAAGATGTTGGGACTTTTAGATCAGAGAAGGAAAAGAAAAGGTAGAGATGACATGAAAATAAAGAAGACAATATGATAAAAGGTACGGCAAAGATAAATCAAGGTCTACCATTCAGTCTCTTTCATAAAGTAAGATCAAGGGTACATTCAAGACTATCAGAAGACTGCAAAATTGACAGAATGCATTATCCACCTGTGGAACTTAAAGAGTACGTATCTGATATTATCAATGTCAAGGGTTCAGGTCAAGTAGAAGTCCCAGGCACATTATGCAAGCACAAGTTCCAATTGCATTTTAAGATTTTATTAATTAGTGTTCTAATCTGGCCAAATCAAGTACTTTTCTTAGTTTTTTTAGAACAGGAATTCTCTGATCTCCAATTAGAACAGTGTCAAGAACACTTAATTTTCAGTATATCAGGTATCCAAAATGCTTCACTTTTCCTACAGTCACAAA